GAGGGCCAGACGTGAAGAAATGGAGGGTGTGCTGTCTCTATGAGCCTTCAATCGAAGAATACTACACTACTCTCTTCACCGTCATATGGAGGTCAACCACCCTTATCTTGTTGGTCCTGATGACATCCACCGCTTCCACTCCGACGATTACGTCGACTTCCTCGTATCCATAAAACCCGAGACTCTCCTCGACCACACACACGCCTGCCACCTCAAGCGCTTCAACGTCGGCGAGGACTGCCCCGTTTTCGACGACTTGTTTGCCTTCTGTCAACGATTACGTCGACTTCCTTGTACTAGTGCCATTGTGACTAAGATAGAGAGGCGGAGAGCACAAAGGGAATGCAGTTAGTATATGACATGGTGATGGAGAAGAGAATCATCCGTGAACTCGAAAGCGGGATCTTGGAGTAGCTGAGATTTCAATTTGGAGTATACCAAGAGAAAGGTCGTACCAGTGCTGCTGTTAAGTTGAACCGCAGGGATGCAGAGTGAGAGTAGGGAAGATCAAGAACCGTTGAGCAAGAAGACGCGGAAGAGACCACCGAACTCAGACCAAATAAAAAATTGCAGAAGAGAAACGAAAACCGCAGAGGAAGCAAGAAGACGCGGATCACAACTCTGATACCATGATACGAAAGAGCAAGGAAGATATATGGGAAATTAATATTTCTTGATGATCTGAATTCAATAGGTTACAACCTATTTATAATAAGGCTAAAGATACAACCAGAGAACCGGTCGGCAACCTAAATTGGAATACAACAAGGAAAGAAAAATATGTATAGCTAGTTGGAGTTGAACTATATCTCCTAGAATTAAGGAGATAAAGATAAAATCCTAAATTTGATGGAATACGCTAACAGTAGATGTCACAGGAACACTAGCCATATTGACATCAAAAACTCCCTATGGAAAAATGAACAAGATATCATGAATATAGACAGGACAATACCACAAAGAAAAGACTAAACACAATGTATTTACACACACACCTCATTCACAACACTATTAGATGATGCTTGTGTGGTGACAAGCTTGAGGCGATCCTCCTTGACCCCTACCTGTTTCAAAATAAACGGCTACAAATATAGATTTAGTCCCAATAGGAAAGAAAAATAACAATTGTAAAGCAAACTGAGTCAGTCATTGGTACACTTACCAGTTCAAAAGTCCTTAAGTCCCTTCTCCGAGCGTGATGAGCTATTTTCTTAACCTGCCCACTTGCAATGGTGACGGTAACAATATTGGCAAATGGAGCACAAACCCCTGACAGCACGAACTCCACATCAGCCCTCTACCCCATTTCAGATGAGGGATTGGCACCATTTTGAGAAGCATCCTCTTGGAATTCATCATGGACTAGGAAATTCTGGATAAGCATGTATCTAGGCACAAATTTTGGTAGTTCCCTAGGCGTCTTTAGCTAGGTATGATTAGTAGGTAGGTTACTACTACAAGTGAGTCTCCTGCTCCTAAATTTCAGGCGTCAATTGTATGTGTATATATATGGTTGTGCCTTGCATAATGAAACAAGATTCTCCACAAAGACTATTCTTTCATGGTATCAGAGCCATAACGAAGTTGCTGAGAGAAACACCGCATTCGCTTGGCGTCAGCAGAGTCCAGACCTTGCACTCCAGTTTTTCCAGATCGGCACTGTAGCTCGTCCCCTCTATTCGAACCCAACCAAGAAGAGCAGCGGCGGAGCTACTGTTCCTCTTCTCCCTGTTCGAGCGGAACCAACAGCGGCGAGAACTGTTCCTCCTCTTCTCTCCCATTGGCAACTACGCCACTGGCAACTACGACACCGGGGATGTTGCGGAAAGCCTTCACAATCTTGGAACCCTCAGTGCCATAAACAATGAGAGGACCCTTGCGAGAAATGTATTGACGGTTCCTCATCTCACCCTTTCTTGGTCGGATCGCATGGCTATCCACATCGAGATAAGCACCGACCTGCTTGAGGATCTTGATCGCGGAAGATGTCTTCTCAACGCCTGCGGGTCATCAGTTTCAGATCCACTGCCGCTCTGGTTTTCAAGATGATGAACAGTGTCGCGATTTCTGGGAAGAACACAAAGAGGATGAGAGATGTTGCTCCATCGTGCGTTCCTTTTTTTGTTGCCATTGCCTCCGGTTTTGGGTTCGAAAGAAGACACTAATGAACAGTGGATTGGCTGCTGTTGCTATTTCCTCTGTTGATGTCTGAAATCGATCGACGGAACAAGAGAACTGGGACCCCTTGTCCCTGAATGGTATCGAAACTTGGGAATCAGAAATTGATACGAAGGACCAATGCTTCATATCAACTCGGGAACAAGAGAGAAAGCTTGTCGCTACAACTCCTCTTCCCGCCGCAGAGTCAAAATTAGAAGGAAGAAAAACCTCTGACACCTCTGTTGGTTGCCGCTGGACGGCACGACCAGTACCCCATGACTCAGTAGAGGTCTGATGGGCGGCGTGCTTGCTGACGACCGTCTTTCCTTTTTTTTTGATATGTTGACGTGAACGAAGTTGACAATGTCTGGACGGATTGACGCTTTCATGACGTCAGGGAGGGAAACGATGACGACCATTTGCAGTAGGAACGGTGAGAGTTCGAGTAAGTATGTTGGACCTTCTGGCGGACGTGACCGAAGTTCAGCAAAAACTCATGCTGCTCAGTCATTGGCAGGGCGTGAGGTGGCTGCTAATGCAGCCATAACTGACGGAGACAGGACCAGACTAAACGGTTTTAATGACGAGCAATGGCAGATTCTCGTAAACATGCTTGATGCTTACAAAACCAGGACTAATGAAAAACTCTCTGGTAAGAAAAATTCTACTGATTGGATAATTGATTCCGGGGCGTCGCACCATATGACTGGAGAAATTGACTTATTGATGGATGTACGGAATATTACACCGTGTC